TATATTTTTAGAATTTATTTTTCTGTGTTATTAATGTAAAGAAATGGAGGTGACTTTAGGATCCTATATTCAGTGATAGGCTAACCCTTCTAATGTTTATAACTTATGTGCAAGCTCTTGAGTTCTCCATGTAGATAATCACGTCACAATGAGTGTTTTGATTCTATGTTTACACTTTAACTTCTCCTTGTCTGGTTGCACTGGTTAGGTGTTCCCAGAGAGCGCTGATCAGAGCTGTGACGGCAGGAATCCTTCTCCTGCTTCTGGTTTTACAGAAAATGGTTGTTTTAATTTTGACTTGTTGTTATAATGTTAACTGTAGGTTTTCTGCAGATACATTTTTTTAGGTTAAGAAAGTTTTTTTCCGCTACTAGTTTGCTAAGTGCTTTTTATCATGATTGGGAGTTGAATTTAATTGAATCCCTTTTTCTGCATCTATTGAAAAGAAAAAATATCTTTTCTAATATGTGAATGAAGAAAATTGCACACAGTTGTCTAATACTGACTCTACGTTGCATTTCTAGAGTAAAGCCCGGTAAACCCGGAAATTTTTACGTGGAGGGTGAAGGAAGTTAGATGGTATCAGATAGAAACTCACCAAACTGTAGAATGCTAGTTCTCTTGTTCACCTCAAGACTGTCTCCTCTACGGCATTATTCCCGACTCATGGTGCCTACTCTGAGCTCTTGGACCATTTACTACTGAAAACGCTCATTTGAAACTTGGCATGTGCTATCCCGTACCTGTTCTGTCTCCCAACTAGAACACAGGACCTTCAGAGAACAGCAATTAGTAAGCACACAACAAATGCTTTCTTAAAATACTTGAAATATTCTCATGGGTAAGATTATGAAGTATGGGTTGGAAAACAATGCAGCATCCTAGAAAGGGAGGCTCCTGGACATGGGTTTTCTAGAGAGCTGCAATTTTAATCTGCTAACATTCACAGAAACTTAAAAATCATTCTTAATTGTACTCCATACTTTTCCGCTTTGTTAACAGTATTCTGGCCATGCTTTATAGACCTTTTAAAAATTTTATGCATAATTTAACTCTTGCTAAGTACAATCTATCATTAGGATCATCAGTTATGGTATTGTGCTTAAGATATTGATGTGGATATATAATGCGTGGAATGCAGAACCTCAGCTACCAGCCTGAATGAGTCTTTAACAGGGAAGAATAAAAAGCCGCACTTCCCCTTTTGACACTGACCTCTGGTTAACTCCCAGCAGCGACTCTCGCATTCCTCCTCCACTCTCCTGCTCCCGCCACCCTCTTTACCCCGGAATCGCACAATGCAGAGCTGTAGGACTGATACGTTCTTAGCAGTGGCACTGTGAAAAGTTACCATTTCTTCCGATTGCAACCACCTTGCAGCTTGTTTCTCCCTTGTAGACTCTCTGTATCTGCTACTAGCTGACCTCATCACTACTTCTAATTTCTAGAAAGGACACAGCACATGGGGTAGCTTAGAGCACAGACTCCAGAGCCAGGCTGCCTGGGTTCAAATCCCAGTTTGACATTTGTAGTTCAGTCCCACTACCAGCTATTTAACCTCACTAGTTCTTGGCTTCCTCGTCCATATAATGAGAATCAACATCTATTTACCTCACAGCATTGTTATGAGAATTAAATGAATTAATATTTATAAGGTGCTTAGAACATGGCCTGTCGTATAGTCATTGTAAAATAACTGAATAAAACTGTGAACTTGAACGCCACCACTCTCTTACCTCTGTGCCTCTTAAAACTACTCCCGCATTTCTCATTTTGGGTAGTGGCTGTACTGGTGGTGGAGGTTGCATTTTGGGGGTGGGAAGCTGTGCGTGCACACACCCTACCTGATCCTAGCAATTCTTCCCACGGGCCAGTGCTTCTCTCAGACTCGGAAGGAAGGGGTAGGGGAGCGGGCTTGTCAGGTGTATTCATTCACTCTTCTGTTAGCCAGGCTAAAGTGAACACAGCAAAGATCATGGAGCTGTTCGTTTAATCAGCTAACAGGAATCCGGGGACATCTGCGACAGGCGTTTTCAAGCATTAAAAATTCATGGACCAGCTCCGGGCTCCCCATCACTGAACACGTTTAAGCTATGGACCAGCGACCAGGTGTCAAGGATGCCTTAAGAAAGATTTTTTCTTTTTTAAATTTAGAGTCAGATCATCTTTAAGATTCCTTCTACCTTTAAAATTTTGGCAGTGCTAGTGTGAGTCACCAAGACGTTGCGATCTAGTTGTGAGTCACACGACGCCAACGCGCTCCCAAGGCACCGAATTCTTCGCTCCCCGCCGCACTTGGCACAGGACCGCGCAGCGAGGTGAGGAATTCGAGCCCTCGGGCTGCGGGAACCGGGCTGGCGTAACAAAAACTTCTCTAACACTCGGCGCGTCAGTGAGCTGATGGCAGACTCCTGTTAGGACCGACAAATGCAGCAGAGCGTATCCATCCCCAGTGCGACTCGCCAACGAGATGCGAATCCCACTCTCAGGCAGTCCCTTCGCTCCCGAGGCCGGACCGGAGCCGACGGGAGGGAGCGGGCAGGTCCGGGGAAGGGGCAGGGTGGCCCGGGGCTGAACGCGAGCCGGGCGAGCCGACACACACTCGCGCGCGCGCGCAGGGGAGATGGACAAAGGCCTGGGGGAGAGCACGCCGGACTCGCAGGCGGCCAGGAATGCCCCAGCCGGAGCGGCCGCCCGTCCGGGGTTGGACTGGGGGTGCGAACGCGAGCCGGCGGGGGGTTCGGGAGAGGCGACGAGGGCCCCCGTGTGCCAGCAGGGCCCCCGCGGGGGTCCTCTCTGCCTCCGGGGAGTGGGCTCGGCCGCCCGCACTCCGAGGGGCCTCGCCGGGCCAGCAGCTCCTGACCCGCAGCCCCGAAGCGGGTCGCGTGGGACAGGCCGGGCCGCGCACCTGCCGGCGGGGCACTCGGGGCCGCACCGCCAGCTGCGCCCCGCAGCCTCCCCTGCGGCTCAGCTCAGCCCGCTCGGCCTCGCCTCGGCTTTTCCGAGGGTCCCGACTCCCGCCGCCTCCGCCGGGCCGCGTCCCCGAGCCCAGACAGGCGGTCCGACACCCACTCCGTGGTGAGGGTGCTGAACGTGAAGCCACGGCCGCCTCCGGCGCGGCCCCGCATCGCGAGCGCCGCCGCCATCACCGGCCGCGGCCGGAGACGAGGGGCCGCGCCGGGAGCCACTTTACCTGAGAAACCAGCGGGAGCAGCGTCTGCTCCACGGAGCGAGTTTTGATCTCAAGTCCTGAGTCGAAGGTGAAGCCGGACGGGCCGGAGCCTTGCACTGCCCCGGCGCCGCCGACGCCGGCGGGGCCCGCAGAGGCGGCCATGGCTCTCCGCCCGTCGCACGGCCCGGACTCCGCGCCACTGCGGGCCCACCGCCTGCCAGCCCGCCCGCGGCTGCGGCACTGCACCCGCGCCGCCCGAGGCCCCGCCCCCAAGCGGGCCCGCCCCCGAGACCGCCCGGCCCCCGCACTGCTCGGCCGCCGCCGCCGAGCCCCGCCCCCTGGCTCCGCAGCGCTTTCCTACTGGGTCCGCTCCATAGCTCCGCCCCTACATGGCCCCGCCCACAAACTGCCCCGCCTCCTGGCCCGCCCCGACTCCTTTGAGACCCCTCTTTGGTGGGCTTCTGGCACGTTTCTCTGCACTGGAATAAACAAGACACCTGAGGGCCTCCCACGGCCACGTGTCCTCTTACCAGGACAAGGACAACCGCCCTCAGCAAAGCTTCCTGTCCTCCGGATAGATGACTCATCCTAACTCCCATTCAGTGACAATTTCTAGAAGCTGCGCTGGGATTGAAACTAACGGAGCAGAACTAGAGTCAAGGCTATAAAGCGGGGCTTTTACTATGCGACGGGAATTCCGCCGGTGATAGTGCTTCCGAGGTCCATGTCCCCTCCACGCCGCTCGTTTTCCCACTTTCGCACAAATATTTTGAGCTAGATTGAAGATTAAGTATTTGATTATTCGATGAAGTCGTATCTAGGTGCTTGGCGAGAAGGCTGTGGTTTGGGTATCTTTTGGCCTACTGTTCAGAATTACTCTGGAGAAGGAAGTAAAATAGAGCAAATGGAAAAGCTTCCTTCATCTACTGTTCGATATTTTCAAAATTACTTTTCCCCTAGTGTCTAGCACAGAACCGTTTCTTTACAGCTGTTCATTGACTGAGAAGATCATTAGTGTTTATTTCAGACTAAACTCACTGAAGGGTAAGGCTAAGCAGAGTCCCTGTGTGTTTGGGATGGGAGAGCTGCACCCCCTTACAAGCCTAAGGATTCCAGAAGCAAAGCCAAAAGGAGGCTGTCAGAAGCGCACTCCCTCTGAAGGGGTCTGGGCATAAGCAATAGACTGGGAAGCATGAAGAAATGCTTTGTGAACTAGCTCATCTGCTAATGAGACACCATGGGAGTAGAAAAGACTGTGTGGCTGGCTAGTCCATCCTTACATCTTTCCCAGGATTTCTCCACCCATGATGTCCAGTGGATGAGCTGAACACCACTAGCTCGAGGTGTCAGCAAGCTCTTTCCCAAGCATCACTGAAAGGTGTTTCACGGTACTTCCACTGTGGGTTTCAGCATCACCTGCCAGTGCTGCACTGATACCTCTGGTGTTGAACATAGCCACAACTTATGCTTGTTTTGTTCATTTGAAATGTGCTGTTCTTTTATACATTTTTCCACCCTCTGATCTCTTCCTCCCCAGCCACCCCCACCTCACCATTTCCTTACCTCCCCACCTTAAAGCCACCTTACCCTGTGCACTGAGGGCTCCAACCTCAGCCTGGGACCCTTCATCTCTTGAAGGTGCCCAGTGTCCACTCCATTACATTTTCCTTTATGTAAGTTGCCCGTATTTCATTAAAAAATTCAGTGTAAGCACTGGTGCCAAAGGAAAAGATGTAAGACTGAAGAGACAGATGGATGTATTTATGAAAGTCTGACTTCACCAAAGATCAAATTTCTCAGCAGAAATAAGACTAAGTTTACTACCTGATTCATTCAACACCGATTTTATTTCAAAATATAAATATTTTACATTTACAAAGAAGTTACATCAATAGGTTGTCAAAGCAAGTTAAAGCTAAGAAACAGCATTTGTGAGAGAATAAAGACCTACTGTTGTATTTGAATACTTTTTTACTTTTGAACCATCTTTACTTCGCCTGAGAATGCAGAGGTGATACATTTTCCAAAATTACACAAGCAACCACACTATACTGTCCAATTTTGGTTTCAAAATCAAATGGTACTTGAAATACACGGCAGTCACCTACACAAATGGCAGTGCAAGGAACAAAAGAAGGGTTTTCTTTGGGATAGTTACAAAAGGAGTTACATTTTCTGAGTCACCGCAATAAGGAAGAAACAGTGTTTGATAATAAGCCAAAATATACTATTTTAAGAATCACTTCCACACCTTTCCATGTAAAATATAAATCTAGAAGGAAAATATGAAACCGGGTGTGAATAATTCTGGACTTGGAGTCAGAAATTCTGACTGAATTCTGGCTCCATTATTGTGTGGTGTGAACTTAAGGGAAAAACCACAGAAACCTTTTTGAGCCTCCAGGGCCTCATTTGATAATACATAACATCTGCCTGTCTCACAGGGCAGTTACGAAAGCAGTCCGAAAGCACCATACAAAAGCATTAATAAAATGTAATATCAATATGTCACCACAGCATCTGCACATTAATTGATCCTTGCAAAACTAAACACAAATACTGATTTCACACACCATAGGTGGAAAGACTCTATACTTCACGTATAGCTCTGACGGGCAAATAAGTCTGCTTTCTAGTATCGCACTAAACTTTGAGGTTCACTTCGATTACAGGGTACCACGGAGAGAGATTTACCATTCAGACTGCCCATCACGAGTGTCATCTCCTACAAGAGCTGTAAACTTACTGCAAAACCACGCTTCCCAAAGGACCAGCAAGCAGTGCGTTGAGGCGCTCTGAGAAAAGGAGGATGGGGGTGCAGTTTAAGGTCAAATAAGTCTAAGGAAACACTCTTTGTCCCCTCTTATAAATTCACACTATATAATTTCATGTTCAAAACCTTTAGAAGTCCTACAGAAAGAAAATGAACCAAGCATCTCTCAATTTGAATTAACCATGGAGTCCCTCTCCCACACACTTTTATTTTCTTATACCATCTAATAGCATACCTTTGAACTACTGCTATAAGGAACACATTTTTCCAAAAGCTACTCAACTACAAGGAAAAGGGAAGAGAAGAACAATGGAGTGAGAGAAAAAAGAACCTATATTCTGTGAATTCTGTTACTAACTGGCTTTGTGTGTTACAAAAGCCACCAGAATCTATGGATTTCTTTCTTTCTCTAGCAAATGACGGAATCACTGAAGTATATAGGCCCATTCTAGCACAGAATGTCTATGATGCTAGCAAATAGTTTTAGAATTGTAAATCAAGTCTATCAAAAATAGCTGTTATGATTTCAGGCAGTATGTGATTTTTTTTGGAAGGTCCTCACAGTTAGTAAAATGAACATATTTTGATGGTAAACATGCAAAGGGGAGTAATTAATAAAAGCAAAAGTACCTGTTCTTGGCTGGAACTAGCATTGGAAAGTTTGCTGTCAGAGAGTATTTCTACTGCGGGTCTTGGAAGACCCTCGGAGGAGACTAGACACCAGGACCAGAGTATGAGAGGGGGTACTTGCTATAAACCTGAGGGTGAAAGCTCTGGCTAGCTCACCTAAAATTACTGTGCTCCAATCTAACCCTCCTGGCCTGAATTTCTGAGCATTTCCTGCCCAGCAGTGAGGGTCAGGATGGGTTCAGGATGAGTTCCCATGAAAAAAACCAAGGTTAGCCAGAGGGCCTTATCTGCAAGCCCTTGAGCAGCCAGCCTTTTTAAACAGAATAAACAGCTGCTATTTTCAAGGGCTACTGAGGCTGTTTAAGTAAAGCATCTCCATAACAATTCTTGGGTATTCTCCCACTGTCCAGAGTCAACCTCCACCAGTCTCAGAAGTCAAGGGAACACCCTGCCAGCTAACCCACCCCTAATGGGAGACGGTGTAGGGTTCTTGCAAATTTAAAAATAAGATTGGCATCTAAGGCAGTCTGACAGAGATCACTTCCGGAACACTGAGTGTGGTGAGGATTGTGAAACTGAAGTAGGACTTATATGACACAGAGGTTATGCTGAGTATCACATGCCTTGCCCTCTCTGGGTGGGAGGGGGGCACATTTGTGTGGATAGCGTTTATCTCCTCCTCCGTTCAGTTTACAACTGAATAGTCCCTGTGAACTAATCTTTAATACAGCAGTAAAATGCAGGACATTGGGGTAGGATTTCTGTACTCAGTTTGAACTGAAGCTACTTCTGCTTCATCAATGCATTTTATTCTTCTTTCTGGGTCAAACACGGAGACTCTGAGGGTTGGTCATCTCTGACACTTGAGCTTGAGATTCCTACCTTTTCATACCGCTTGATCTCCAAGCCCTGTGAAAATTCTGCAAAACCTCTCCCTGTCTGAGGGGGCACGTTTCTGTCTCTGAGGGTTCCAGGAGGCCCTCCTCTGGCCAGTCCGGCTTCCCAGTCCTTGCAGTTGCTGGAGTGCTGGGCCCCTTCGCATTTCGCAACCAGGATGGTGCAGCACTGCGGGGCTCCTCTGTTCCTGACGTTCAGGGTGATGATATTATATCGCTGCCCGTTTGGGAAGCTCTATTCTATTCTCTCAGAGCACAGAGTTCTCCCCACTATGCCTGGTATTCACACAAATCATTATGACAGGCTACAGCCATACACTAGCTCAAGTTAAGTTTTTTGCAACATCACTTTGTATGTATAGCTCAAAGCACTTTGGAAGAACATAATCTGTACATGCACCCTAAATCATTGTGTGTATTTACCTCTTATGAATATGTCCTAATTATAGCTATAAACTTTCCTTTATGCAATTAACAAAAATAAACCTGATTTCTCTTTTAACTCCTTTAATACAAAATTTTCTTTTTAGCGACACGTTGGGTCTACACGTTACGGTGAGAGAAGGCCTTCTCATGAGTTACCCCCTACAGCACCTTGCACAGCCTCGGGCAGGCGACCTAGAGTTTGGCAAAGTCTCGGTAAAGGTTTTACTGAACGAATGATTAAACAACAGGCTGCAGAAAATAATGAGGTATTCAGTGACCGAATGTAACACCTGGTGTCATATCAAATTATACTTGTTGAAGGATTCATAGTAAAAATAAGAGACCTACATGGAGTCTCCTGTATGAACAGTCAAAGACCTTATTGTAGCCTCCCTTGTAGACAGAATTTTTCTTAAGAAATAGCAGAATAAGTTTAAGTTAATTATCACTAACAATGCTTCTTAGTCAGAAGGGCTTTAGAAAAAATAGTTTCTACTTTTGTTTTCCAAAAAAACATGATCTCTGATACTAAAGAACCATTTCTCCTCCATATTCCCTTAGGGGCAAAGAAAGAGCCCGAGGACTATTTCTACACAATGGAAAGGGTTCAAGGCCGAGAGTTCGGTTCTAGTCCCAGCCCTGTCATTAACTGTAGGACGAGTCCAAGGACACCTATTCTATCTTACTGCACTGGAAACACTGTAAGATATTAAGAAGAAACACTACAGTATAGCAGAGTTTGAAGGCTTATGGAGTCAGAAGATTTGAGGTCAAATCTTATTCAACTTCATGACTTTGAGTTGGTCACCTTTCTGACCTTGGCTTCCCCATCTGTGTGAAACTGTTACAAAACAAGATAAAGCTGTATGAAAGGTTACGTGATGTTGTTGTGAAATAATTACACTCAACAAGACTCTACAAAATGTAAAGCACTGTGCTGGTTATTGTGGTATCTGACATCCATAAAAAGTCACAATTTAATTCAACAAGCGTTCACCTAGAGAGTCTTATGTGCAAGGAAGGCACTGTGCTGAGTGAGGGAAAAATGCTACATGAAGACCACATTCTAGCCTATCAGTAACTAAGTGGCAGAATTCCAAATAAAGAAACAGGGATACACTAACAAATCAAAGTCATGCTGCACCTGAGACTCTTCACTTAAAACATTCTGACAGAGAAAAATATCACAACTTGAATTCTAGCATATTGTTACCGTTAATAGCAGCATACACGTATTTCACTTCAGTGTGGTCTGCCAAGTTTTGGAATTCTGGCAACAGCGTAGTGGGGGATGGAGGAAAAAGAAAGTGGACGAAGATCTGTAGTCCATCTGTCTCTCCTATGGTTGCGACACACAACTAACTGAACTTGAAATAAGCTACTCCGCCCTTACACTTAAGATTAGCTCTTTCTCGGAGAGGACCGTACGCTGTGGGAAGAAGTCTCATTTTCCTGCTCAAGCAACTACATACTCAAAAGTGAGAGCCCTTTTCATTGAAAAGTGTATGAACAGACTTCTTAAAACAGGAGAAAGATTACAATGTATGCCCTCTAAATGGCAGGTAGTTTAGGGCTCTTAAAAATAACTTTATAAATATATATTATAATCATAATCTAGATAAGCAGAGGGGGAAAATTTCAAGCCATGGTACCAGTGTACAAACTGAAACTTTTCAAGCCATCTTAGCAACGGTGAGGTGTGCAAACCACATTTCGGAGCTCTAAAGCTGTGCTTCAAAGTGGCAATGCGGCCCACAGCAAGCTTGCTCTTGTCCACGTGTTCTGTATGGAAGGCCAGGAGGCTTCTGCTCCTCGTCCTGGGCTCTGCTTGCCGGGCACAGCGGAATGGACAGAAGGCCACAGCTGAGCTGAACTCACAGTCAAGGTTGAACTTCCCAGAGAAACCACTGTAGCGGAAGCCATGTCAGTCTATTGAAGATTTCACATCTTCAGAAACGTCATGGAAAGTCCTAGAAGAAAAGATGAACTGATTAGTTTTGTTTTGGAAACGAGGGGGTGGGAAGAATAAAACCACAGAGAGACGAAACAGAGAAAGGAAAAACAGCATCCAACCAATTAATTGCCATAGAATAATAATACCTTGCTTTTATCATCTGAGAGCCTTGATGAGGTGAGACAGTCATCTTTAATATTTTCACGAGTTGGTATTTTGAATACTGTTTCAAAGTCTGCTAGTTGTCTCTCATTCTTTAGTAACAAGAAGCCCAGTTCTTTTTGCTGAGACCATTATCTCCCATCCAAAACACGATTTCCCTTGAAACTGACCATGTGACTAAATTCTAGCGAATGAGATGTAAGTGTACGTATTGTGTGACTTCTGGGCCGTGTCCTAGAAAGAGAGGGTGATCTTCTTCCCTTCCCCCACCCTTCTTGCTGGCTAGAAAGTGTACATAACAACTTTAAGAGAAAAACACTAAAAGATCAAAGAGCAAATGCTAAGTGGATAAGTTTTATTGCAAAACAGGAAACCTGACCCAGCAGAGGCCGAGCTCTGAGGGATGTGGTTCAGGGCAGGAAAAGTGGGCTTAGGTCTTCTCATCAAATGACCTGGTACTGAACTGCATCTGACCCGCACTGGGCAAGCTAAGTGAACACTACCAATTGGCAGGTAATACCTGGGCTGGATGGAGGTGGTGCTGCACCTGTGAGGTGCCACCTCAGAACTGTAGCAGCCAGTTTGCCTCTACTACATAATTTATATGCCCAGGCTAGGAATGTCACCGAGTCAGGTCTGCATCCGTGTTGGCAGCCAAATGGCCAGGTCCGAGTTTCTCCATGAACGTCAGCTCAAGCACCATCTCTGATGAAAAGACCTCGCACCACGGCTGGCAGAGTATCAGGGAGAGAGGCTTGGCATGCATGTTTGTGGAAGAGCTATACCAGCCCTGTACTGCCTGCCTATGGGCCGCTTTCATTTGAAAGTAATACACTTCCTGCTCGTTTAAGTCATTTGAGTTCTGTTGGTAGTGGGTATTTTGAGTTTGTGTTGGGTTATATAAAGCCAAATCTATCTTAAAGGGTACAAGTATGAAGCAGAAGTTCATTACCACCCTTTTTGATAGAAGTCACCTTGCTTCTATACAATATCACGAATTAGAAAGACAGTAACACATCTGGGCTTAAGAAGCTTGTTTTCAAAACAATTAAAAAATTTTTAAATTATATTTTATTGATTATGCTATTACAGTTGTCCTGACTTTTCCTCCTTTGCCCCAGTACCCCCATTCGTTCAGGTGTTCCCCCACCATTGTTCATGTCCATGGGTCACGCATGTAAGCTGACTACTCCACTTCCTACACTGTACATCCCCGTGGCTATTCTGTGACTACCTATTTGTACTGCTTAACTCCCTCATGTCCTCACCCATTTCCCCCCTCCCCTCCCATCTGGGAACCATCAAAATGCTCTTTGTATCCATGATTCCATCTCTGTTCTTGTTTAGTTTGTTTTTTAGATCCAATTGTGGTTAGATTTGTATCTTTTGCCATTTTATTGTTCATAGTTTCAATCTTCTGTTCCTTAAGTCCCTTTAATGTTTCATGTAATGGTTTGGTGACAATGAGGTCCTTTAGGTTTTTTTTTTGTCTGGGAAGCTCGTTATCTGCCCTTCAGTTCTAAATGATAGCTCTGCTGGGTAAGCAATCAGGTCCCCGATTTTCTTGACTTTGACTAAATAGTCAAATTGACAAATGTCAATCCCTTCTAGCCCTCAAAGTTTATTTTGAGAAATCAGCTGACAGTCTTATGGGAACTCCCCTGTAGGTAACTAACTTCTCTTGCTGCTTTTAAGAGTCTCTTTTTATCTTTAATTTTTGCATTTTAATTAGGATGTCTTGGAGTGGGCCTCTTTGCATCCATCTCCTTTGGGTCTCTCTGTGCTTCCTGGACTTGCATGTCCATTTCCTCCACCAAATTAGGGAAGTTTTCTTTTATTACTTTTTCAAATAGACTTCCAATTTCTTGCTTTCTCTTCCCCTTCTAACACCCCTATGACTCAAATGTTGGACCTCTTGAAGTTGTCCCAGGGGCTGCTTCCACTATCCTCGTTTGGTTTTGTTTTACTTCTTTTTTCTTCTTGTTGTTCTGTGTGGCTTTTTGATTATGTTCCAAATCATTGCTTTTATTCTCAGCTTCATCCAATCTCCTGTTGTTTCCCTATAAATTGTTATTTCAATTAGTGTATCCTTTGTTTCTGACTGGGACTTTTTTATACTGTTAAGGTCCTCGCTTCGCTAAGTGCCCTGAGCATCCTTATAACGAGTGTTTTGAACTCTGCATCTGAGAGATTGCTTAGCCCCATTTTACTCGGCTCTTTTTCTGGAGTTTTGATCTGTTCTCTCATTTGGGCCATGTTTCTTTGTCTCCTCATTTTGACAGCCTCCCTGTGTATGTTTCTACATATTTGGTAGAGCTGATTTAATGCTGTGTCTTGGTAGTGCGGTATATTGTAGTAGGTGTCCTATAGGGTCCAGTGGCACAGCCTCCCGAATCAGCCACACAGGGTACTCAAGGTGTGACCTTCATGTGGGCTGAGTACATCCTCTTCTTGTAGTTGAGTCTTAGTTGCTGTTAGTAGATCAATGGGAGAGATTTTCTCAGGCCAGTCAGCTGCAAGGATTGGCTGAGACCACTGACCATCAACCTCCATACTTTGTGGAGGATCAGCTGTGCAGGGGCAGAGTGGCGGTGCTGTGACATGGTCTGTAGCCATGGTGCTGCTTGTTTGAGAGAATTTCGGAAGTTATGAAGCATGAGGCAAGATCAGCCATTCATATGGAAAAGCAGCAGGCCCATAAGTGGGTGGGGTAAATTCTCTGGGGATCTCCACAGTGAGTCAAACAGTGTTAGCCAGGTTGATGGGAGTCTCAGATATGGCACCAGCTTGCCAGCTCTGTGGGGGGAGGGTTTAGAAAAGGGATAACGGCCTCTGCTTGCTTTGATACCAGATATTTCAGTATCTTCCAAAATGCCACAGGTGCCTTTCAAGCTGTTACCCTGGTGCTGGAGCTCAGAAAGAGTGAGTCTGAGTAGGTGATTCAGTGTGTGGGTTCTTTAAGAGGAACTGCTTGGGGCTTTAGCAGTTTCTTCCACCGACTCAATCCCACTAGTTTTTGCAGCCAGAACTTATAGGGGCTTATCTTCCTGGCGCTGGAACCCTGGGCTGTGGGGCCTGGTGTGGGGATGGGACTCCTTGCTCCCAAGATCTCCCTCCTGAAGTTTTATCCACCACAGGTGGGTGTGGGACCAGCCATTCCACATCCACATCCCTCCTACCAGTCTGCAAAGACGTGGCTTCTTTAATTCCGTAGGTGACAGACTTCCATTCACCTTGATTTCTGACAGCTCTGAGTGATGGCTGTTCTATATTTTAGTTGTAATTTTAATGTGGTTGTGTGAAGGGTGAGTCATGTCTGCCTACACTACCATCTTGACTAGAAGTCTGCCTCAAAACAATTTTAAAATCTTCAACTTACATTAACTTGTAGTCACGTCACTATACCATGTTGTTCCTTCTTACATTATCATTCAAATAAAGCTCATTTTATTTTCATTCCTGTAACCAAGTACTAAAAAAATTACTTAACTTTTTCATTAGAAATAGGCCTCAAAGAGAATATAAGAAGTATTCCAAAACTTCAGGGAAAAATACTCAGTTACAGAAACAAAAGATAACCAAAAGTTGTCATTAGGTTCAAACCCACACCCACGCCACCTCTTACTCCTTTTGTCTTCCTACTGTTCAGTTCATATAAATATTCAGGGTGACTATGGTAGCTAGAGAGGGCAGAGATTAAAGACTAACCCTTTCGTACGAGGTTAGGAGTACTTCACTGTCAAGAGGGGCACAGGGAAAATGTCACAGAAAAGAGACTGCATCGAGGATGCTCCATTATCCCGAGGCCCTGCCAGTGGGCAGTGCCCCGAGTCTCTGTCTGAAGCATGCCTGCAACTAGCACAGCTCTACTTCCGAAGGAACAGCTTGGAAGAAGTGGTGAGCGAGCTTCCTGGCCATGGCGCCTGTGGCTGTAAAAGGGTTTATGTATATCACAGAGCTAAAACCACCAGCTGAATATCTGCTGACAGATCTGGGAACTGAAATGAGTTGTTTCCTTAAGTATTTTCATTCTGAGAGAAATTCCACCAACGATTTACACATACATGCATGTCTTATATGTATTAACATCTATCTATCTATCTATCTATCTATCTATCTATCTATCAATCAAATCAGGGTTTCTCACTAGCATCCCTATTGACATTTTTGTACATTATAAAAGGTTTAAGCAGCATCCCGGTCTTTACGAACCAAAGTTGCTACAATGAAAAGGTGTCTATAGGCATCGACTAATGTCCCTCAAAGGGAACAAAAGCACACCCCCCCCACCACTGCTCTGGATACCTATTTATTTATATCATCGCTCTAGGTATTAGTTTATTTGTGTGTCTATGTCTCAGTCGCACCAAAATTTGTGTTTAACATCTACACAGAGGCAAAGCTGACTACCTACCGTCTCAGATGACAAGAATCCTGGGTAGCACTCAATTCTCTGAAGCTCTGGAAAAGCTTTATAACCAATAACCAAAAACTGACAAATATTACAAAGCATTTCCATAAAAACAGATGTTTTCATTCATCCTTTGACATCTTTTCAAATTTCTAAGATACCTGCAGTTTTAATCTCTATTAAATTCCTCTAAACGATGAATGAGACATTCTGCCTCAGGGCCAGGATGCATGAAATAAGACTGAGACTGTGGTCGGCCTGCTGACTGCCTTCCACTGACAAGTAAGCTTAGCGGTAACCTGGAAATTCATACCTACTATTCGATTCCGCCTCCAGGCCAAGAAAGCTTCCGAATGGACTCAGAAGAAAAAAAACAAAATTAAGCAAGCTGAGAAAACAGTTACTAAGGGTTTTCCATTTCAACATTGTATATTCTTTAGATG